CACGCCCACAGAACCGGTAGTAAAAAATTTTACAACCCATCCCTGCTCACTTGGCCTTAGAAATATCTATTTCCCACACAGGGTTCATACTCATGTCCCATGTGCTGCAGAAAAACATGCCTGATCACGCTTTTTAAGTGACATGTTCTCATGATTTCATCCCCACTCATCCTCACTATAGTTCTAGAAACTAGGCAGTAATGTTTAGTCTTATTTCACCAGCATGGCAGCTGTATGAATTGAAAATATAAATGTAGAGATATAACTCAATAATACCTCATTTGATGTTGACAGCACTAGTTGGTGAAGATTTTTGTCTTCATATCTTAACTGGAACAAAGTTTTGGGTGATTTTCAAAGGGGAGAGGCTTTGCAATATTTTACTAAGTCCAGGAGAAACCTTTTCTTGATGTACTGCTCAGAGTTTCTTTCTTAAGCACAGTTTCATTTTATTTTAGTAAATCAATCTAATAAATAAAAATTTGGCAGATATTTTGGAATGAATGTTGTTTTTCTGCTTAGTCTCTGCCTCAGTCCAAATGTGTGGACAATTGTCACCCTGGATTTGTAAAACGGGCTCGGAAAGAAGAACCAATTTGCTGCTACGATTGTATTCCTTGTCCGGAGGGGACCATCTCCACACAGGAAGGTGAGTGACATCAGAGGAACTCTGGCTTTTCTGTCTCTCAGTATCAGCTGCCACTGAAAGAAAGTCTTTCTTGGAATGTGAAAGGAGAGACTAAAAAAATAATATTACTTATTGTTTTCTCAGATACTGAAAAATGCACCAAGTGCCCAGATGACAAATATCCAACTGATGACAGAATCCAATGTATCCCCAAAAGAATAACCTTCCTGTCCTATGAAGATCATCTGGGCATCATCCTGGTCTCCTTTGCTGTACTCTTGTTTCTAACAACAGGCCTTGTTTTAGTCATATTCGTTAAATACCTAGAAACTCCCATTGTCAAAGCTAACAACCGTGACCTGTCCTACATCCTCCTGGTTTCCCTCTTGCTTTGCTTCTTGTCCTCCTTTTTCTTCATTGGCCGACCAAGGAAAGCCACCTGCCTTCTCCGACAAACAATGTTCAGCACCATCTTCTCAGTAGCTGTGTCTTGTGTGTTAGCCAAAACAATCATGGTAGTGCTGGCCTTCCTGGCCACGAAACCAGGGAACAGGGTGAGGAGGTGGTTGGGGAAGAGCTTGGCCAACTCCATCATCCTTTCTGGTTCTGCTGGAAAAATGGTCATTTGTGCAATCTGGCTGGGAGTTTCTCCTCCGTTTCCTGATTTTGACCTGCACTCCCAATCAGGAGTGATCATCCTTCAGTGCAATGAAGGCTCTGTGACCATGTTTTATGTGGTTCTCTGCTACATGGGTTTCCTTGCTGCCATTTGCTTCACAGTGGCTTTCCTGGCCAGGAACCTGCCTGGGGCCTTCAACGAAGCCAAACTGATCACCTTCAGCATGCTGGTCTTCTGCAGCATCTGGATCTCCTTCCTGCCCACCTACTTGAGCACCAAAGGGAAATACATGGTGGCCGTGCAGGTTTTCTCCATCTTGGCTTCTGGGGCTGGCCTGCTGGGCTGCATCTTCTTCCCCAAGTGCTACATTATCATCCTGAGACCAGATCTAAATACTAAGGAACATTTAATGATAAAAGTCAGTATCTGATCATGAAGTAGATTCTTAGGCTCATAACACTTAATTATTTATTGCAGTTATTATTGAGTTTGTATGCTTGTTTTGACAATTAAGATTATATAAAATCAAAAGAAATAAATATACAAAGAATGTTAGACTAACATAAGATAATCATCAAAGTGTAAAATAAATTAATTAATAATTTAAATTGTCATGAAACTAGGGAAGGAGAAGATAAGAAATGAGATTTTATTATCATATAGGACTGACTGACTGAATCAATAAACAAGGAGACATATGTCTGAAACAAGCTTTACCAATCAGTCGGTGGGATTCCCTTCAGTCCATTTAAAAAGAAAGAAGACCACATCTTTCAAACTTTGTAAAATCTTTATTTTTTGTAATCTTTTGTAATATACAGCAAAGAGGTGATTTTAGAGTCGTTTTTGGAAAACTTTCCTCAGCTGAAGCTGGGGAAAGTCTAAAACTCTTTTGGCCAAGTGTTCAGAGCCATTAATTAACCCAGTTCCTGACATGCCAGGAATGAGCTCATCCTCCCTTGAACTGATTTCTGAGAAAGAATCTGGGGAGTTGTCCAAGGAGGACATGATACTGTCTGCTGTTTGTTTAGTAAACAAAGAGACTTCAAAGTATAAAGTTTCTCAGTGTCTTACATGAATACTGAAGGGCAAGTATAAGGGGAAAAAAAGTCTACCCCCATAACGTATTCCATATTTACCCAATGATACAGTTGGACAATTATCAATTTCCATTCCCTTTGTTTCAAATATCACCCCAAAGTTAATATTTCTAGGGCAAATGAAATTTCACTATTGCATGAGCAATTTTAAAATCACTTCCAATTTGTGATTAATACAGGAAGATCTAAAAGAAAAGTAAATTACAAACAAGTCCTACTCTTAACATAAGGCAGGCTTCACGGTTACAGATTTCTTCCTTAACATTAAAAGACAGGCAGTATTAGAATTAAGCGTCATCAACCTAAGTGTCAGGGTTCCAAGAAACCCCAACGAAAGAAGACTCTTAAGCTTGAATTTCCTCACTGTTCCATTTTATTGGAGATGTCATATTGGCACATCTGGAAAAACCCAAACCCAGTTTCCAGGTTTTCCCCGCAGAAAAAAAAGTTCAAGTCCCTGCCCAGCACCCACATGTTCATCTCATGATCCAATCAGGCACCATCCAAAACCGGAGATGCCTCCTAGTCATCGCATCGTAGCTGCAGGGCAAGGTGGCCTTGACTCTCTGAGAAAAGAATGTTATTTTGATTACATAGCACACTTACTCTATGCCAGGAGTCCCCAACCTTTTGGACCTCAGGGACCACCAAGTTCGTAATTTTAAATCCCGCAGACCACTAATATGAATGCAGTGTGCCACTTGCTGAAGCGCCTGGATTCCCAGTGATGGGTTGGTGTCCTTCAGGCACTCTCCCTCCTCTCTTTCTCTCTCTCTCCCACTCTTTCTCTCTCATTCTCTCATTCTCTCTCCCTCTCCCCCTATCTTTCTCTCTCTCCCATTTATTCTCTCTCATTCTCTCTCTGAATCCCTCTCTGTCTCTTTCTTTCTCTCTCTCTCTTTCATTCTCTGTCTCTGTCTCTCTTTCCTTTATTCTGTCTCTTTCTCTCTTTCTCTCTCATTCTCTCTCTCATTCTCTCTCATTCTCTTTCTTTCTCTCTTTCTCTCTCATTCTTTCTCTTTCATTCTCTCTCTGATTCTCTCTCTCTCTGATTCACTTTCTCTCTCTCTTTCTCTCTTTCTCTTTCTCTCTCTTTCTCTCTCTCTCCATCTCTCTTTCGCTGTGTCTCATCTCTCTTCCCCCTCTTTCCCTCTCATCTCTCTCTCCCTTTCTTTCTCTCTCTCCCACTCTTTCTCATTCTTTCTCTCTTTCCTTCTCTCTCTGATTTTCTCTCTCTCTCACATCTCATGGGCCAGCCAGTGTCTTGGGGCTGAGAGGAAGTCAAGCATCTCCCTGGAGACCGAGGTGCGCAGAGCACCAACAAGGGCTGGAAGAAATGGCTGTGACATCCAGCAAGAGACAAAACTTCACTCTTACTCTGGAATATGGAGCAAATCTCCATCCTCTGCCCTTCCCTCGCCAGGCAAGGAGTGACTGAGAAGTGAGGGTGAGGGGTGGGGACAGCTACTGGTGGGTTCAGCTGACAGGAAGCTACAGCAGGGGGAAGAAACAGTCCGGGGTTCCTGCCACCCATTGCTTCGGCCCACCTGCACTGCCACCCCCATTTGCACCATTATCTCATTCCGGCCAGAGAGGGCTGTGCTACAAAGTTGCAAGTTGCATGAACCTCCCTCTACAGTGCAGATTTACAGCCCCACCATGAGCTGCCTGGCCAGTTCTATATTCCAGAGCTCTAGTCACAGGACTGTCCATTGCTCATACCGGAGCAGCTCCTCTACCCGGGTGCACTGCGGACCACCAAAATTTTATTGTAGAACACCACTGCGCCATGGACCACCGGTTGGTGACCATTGCTCTATCCAATTCCCCCCTCCCATCTTCCCGCAGTAGAAAATGTGGCAGGCTGAAGCCCAAATGTAAAAGATGGCTTCCAGGTCTGACACTAAAGTAGAACCAAACTCTATAGTTCTGGGTGATCTTCCCCAGGAGTCTCTGGGGACAAGAGAGTACATTGAAGGACAACACCCAATTTCCTGGGTGTTGAACTATCTTTCTTCAGCATCTAGACATTTTCAGAAAGGAAGGACCACAACCATTTCAGAACAGTGCCCTCTAGGGGTATATCTATGATTTTTCACTATGCTTTAATCCAGCTTCTCCTCTGCACATGGAGGCCCAGAAGTAGTTCAGGATTCCCAGAGGATATGTTGCTTCTTACAGTAATTATTAAAATCCTGGTCAGTGAGATCTCTCCTGATATTTCTCCAGTGATCGCCTTTGATGTAAACATCAGACTGAAGCAACTTGAAAGGGATCTTGCATAAGAAAAGCATAAATGAATCAGGTCACACTCCATGTGGTACAAATTTTGGGACATTCAGGGACTGTGCTTCTTGAATGTACCTTTCCTTTCTCTCCTTTCCAGGTGCAGTTCTGTTAATCTCAGTCAAGAAAGTCACTCTCATTTCCATCTTTGAATGGTGCTTTGAATTCTTCAAATGCTCTTGTTCTTCCTAAGAAACAGGAAGGGGATTAATTCAGCCCCATGAATTATGGACCTCCTCCTTCTGTTTCTGTTGCTGCTGATGTCCCAGCCAGTCTCTGGGAAACTGAGAATGAAGTGCCTGCTGAGGTTGGAGGAACATGAGGGAAAAAACCTACGGAGCTATTACAGGCCAGGAGACCACCTCATTAGTATAATGTCCACTGCCACAATAATATTCCAAATAATGCTGTCTTTCAACACAGCTCCTTATACTCAAGCTCCCTCGTAAGTCATTCAGTGTGATGGAGTTGCCTTCCTTCCATTTGCAGTCCTAACATTCTTCTTCTTTTCTGTCAGTTACTCCTATATTGCAGGACCTGTTTAATTTCTTGAATGATTTGGATTTCCATCGATTCTCTCCTATGTCTTATTTTAAGAGACCAAAATCCAAACATGGAACAACCCCGCCCCCCCAAGTCCAAATTATTTTCCCCTCTTATAGAATCTTGAATTAATCACAACTAGATTATTGAAAAGTTTGTAGTTTCTTCTGCCCAACCCATTTCCCTATTTTTATAACCATTCATTGATATTCAGTGCCTGACCCTGGTATGGAATAGAGGATGGCTTGTTTTTAGAATTGCTTTTCTGGATCATTTATAAGTCCTCTTTGCTGATGATTCTATATTTATGATTGAATGATTTTGAATCTTGGTCATTTCACAAATTAAAAATGAGCACTATTACAAATACTATATATATATAATTTATAAACTTTATTAAAACACATATAAAACATATATAAAAAACATTTACAAAACATACAACGTATAAGTAAATTTTCTTCTTAAAGCAATATTTTGTAGTGGTTCTTCAATTAATACAGTTGCGATTTTCCCCTTATGTTTAGCCTGGTAGTTTTTCTCATTCTCTTTTCTCCCCCCTCCTTCTCTTCTTTCCCCTCCCCTTAGGATTTCTTAACAATCTTTATATTTGAATTAAACTTTTGTTTCGAAACCCCTGTTCTTGTTTACTTGTCCATAGGAAATTATTAATATATCTATTTACATCTTTATTCTATTTTTCTTGCACCTATATTTCTTTATTAACAACGTTATACCATAGGTACCATTTGTCCCATATTCTATAGTACTCTGTCTCTTCTTTTTCCTTGATCTCTTTTGTTAATCTATCCATTTCAGCACACTGTGTGATTTTATCTGTTAACTCTTCTTCCGTTGGGATTTTTTCTTGTTTCCAATTCTTTGTGTATGTTATTCGAGCTGCCGTTAGAATATGTATTAACAAATACTGATATATTTTAAATATTAAATCTCCATCCCACCTTCTCGACACTCATAACAATTAAACGGGTGACTATAATTTTATTCTTATTTTGCACTTTTGGCTTTAGTCTGAATTGACTTGTGGAGAGAGAGAGGAACAAATGAAAATATATTTTGTTGTTGTTGTTAGAGATGATGTTATCATGAACATTTTTTTTTACAGTAGTTCATTGACTGATCCAGCAAGACTCCTAAGCTTCATTTTTGCCATTCAACAAGTCAATAGGAAATCTCCGCTTCTGTACAATCTCACGCTTGGCTACAACATCCATGACAACTATTTCAACACCCTTGGCACTTCAGATGCCTTGCTGGACATGCTCTCAACTGGAGAAGCCAATGTTCCCAACTACAGATGTGGAAAGAAGGACAACCTGATGGCTGTTCTTGATGGATCTTTTGATGACATCTCCATTCAGATGTCAACATTAGTAGGTACCTACAAAGTCCCACAGGTTTGTTTTTTTGTTTCTCTATCTGGCAAAGTGAGCAGGTTGTTGGTGAGTGAGTAATAGATTCAATCATATATTTTCTATGGAATTCATGAGCTGCTTTACACCATGGCCATTGTCATGGGTAGAGATTGGGATCCACAGGAGGCATAAATATTTACTCAAGCAAGACTTGAGCAGTTGGACACAATGTTAAATACGGAACCTTTAAGTAAATCTCTAAAATGAACTGATTGTATTTGCAGTGCTCCAGATAGAAGACTTAGCACGTCTAGTATCTGAATGTCAGTTTTATTAGAAAAGAGAAAGAACAATATCTTAGACCCCAGATTAGACAAATGATTATATTCAATCTTGTTAATATTCTGCACTTTGTATTCTTTATCTTGATATGGCTTAAGAATTAATAACAATCGACTATTCTAATATGTTTGTGAGAACCACATTGGATGTGTTAAAAGCTTACACTTTGCACTTGATCTGATCTAACCATAATACATGATTCTTCATTGCTTCTTCAGATCAGTTATGGAATTATTTCAGAAGCTCTGAGTGATAAAAGACAAATGCCTTTTTTCCATGAGATGCTCCCCCAAAATGGGATCCAGTATCCAGGAATTGTCCAACTCCTCCTCCATTTTAGATGGACTTTGATTGGTCTCTTTGCACCAGACACAGAGGAGGGAGAGAATTTCATGAGAACTTTTACTCCTATGCTTGTCAGAAATGGAATTTGTGTGGTTATCTCAATGACTAGACATACAGAACCTCTCAGAAATGCAATCTCTAAGTGGAGAAGAGTGAATGTCTTTGTTCACTTCAGAGAATTTGCTTCCTTTGTGGATAGAATTCGCCTCATCCATTTAGCAATTGAAGGTTTGCCAGGACCCATTGAAGGGAAAGTCTGGATCACAACAATTGTGGAGAAATTGACAATGAGAAGGCATACATTTTCCAAATATATCCATAGCATTTGGGCCTTTGCTTTTCAGGAAAGAAAATGGCCAAATGATGACGCCTTTCAACCCAATCTTTTCAAGGATTCCAAATTTGAAGACCAGTCTTTTCACTGTTCTTTTTCAAAGCATGTCCTCTCTGTCAAGGGCCGGAGACGATGCACCCAGATAGCACCACTGGACATGCAAGAGAAAAAGAATAGAATTCAGATACAAAATGAGCACCGTTTTTATACTGTTGCTAAGACTCTGGCCCATGTCTTGAATGTTGCATATTCCTCAATATCTAGGAGGAGAAAAATGGAGAAGAAAGAGAGTTTGGGGACTCTAAGGCTAGAGCCATGGCAGGTATGGGGTTGTGACAAGGATCCATCATACCTATTTCCTATTTAGAAAAAAATCCAATGCTGATGTAGGGGAACCATTGTTCTCCAAATAACCAGCAGGTTTGGCCAAGCGGAGGCCAGATTTAGTTCACAGGATTATGTTCCAAAGAGCAGGCATAGTGACAATTATATTTTGATATTAAACACTGCTATTATAAAATTATTTAAAATGTATACATTGTAAATAAATTCCTGTACTTATGGGTTTGTAATTAGCATGATAGAATTTTATACTCAAACTTGGGAGCATTTAGCTTAATCCCTCCTCACTGCAGGAATCCAATTAAAGCTTTACAGTCTGATGGCTACTCAGTCCTGGCATTTAGCCACGGCATTTACCCTAACCCTAACCCTAGCCCTAACCCTCACTCCACCCATAACTCACTACTCACTTCCAGGAGTCCGATCCTGACCAGATCAAGGTTGACTTAGCTTTCCATCCTTCCAAGGTTGGTAAAATGGGTACCCAGATTGTTGGGGGCAATATGTTTATTCTATAAACCACTTAGAGAGGGCTGTAAAAGCACTGTGAAGTGTTAATATAAGTCTAGGTGTTATTGCTATTCAGGCAAATAGTGAAGAGGGGATTGAACTTCTCTTATTCAAAAGCTCAGCTTTAAAATGGCTCCTCCTTTTAGGATGTTTCAAGTTGCTTTCAAAATTCCTGGATGTTTCAATTCTAGTTCCATCCCTTTTTGGAGAAGAATGAGTTTTGCAATTTTTCCTCGGAGAAACTGTACTTGGACCAAAGTGGAAATGTAGCAGCAGATCTGAATATCATAAGTTGGTTGCTTTTCCCCAAGGAGGATCCCATCCAAGAGCAACTGGGGAGTTTTGAAAGACAGAGGCTTATTATCAACCAAGATGCTCTTTCACGGCTAAAGTTGCTCAACAAGGTGGTTGAAATATTGGCAATTTTTCTCTGTCTGTATGGTTGGTGTTAGGGTCCCCTGAAAGAGCAGGCTCAGATATTTTTAAAGAGCCGATATCTGTCCACAGTTATGAATGCCTCTGTTTCACCCCACTGGGATAGGCCTCCTGCTGCTAGGAAGGTCATCCAGGGTGTTCAATCAAAATGGAACCTCTATGACTTGTCCGATATGAGATAATGCCTTAAACTAGAAAAATGAAGGACTAAAAATTACCTTGACTGCTTCCGCCCAAGTCTTTCTTGACACTTGTAATAATGAGGGTCAATTTGTAATAAAATGCTACTTAGATTTGATCTTTGGCTTGTAATCCATCTAAAATCCCCTTGAATGCAATTGTTTATCTTGATTCTCAGCTATCTTAAGTCTTCCACTGAAACAAATAATTCTCCAAATTTAAACAATAAATAAATGTGGGTCTGTCTTTCCATGTCATCTAATTGTAGTTCTAATTTTGGGAGGCAGTGGAGGACAGGGGGTTCTGGAGTGCTATGGTTCTTGGGGGCTGAAAGAGTTGGACACAAGTAGCGACTAACAACAAAACTGTAATTCTTCAATGGAAAGGACCTTGTCACAAATACCTGACTTGCAGAGGTGGGTTTCTACCAGTTTGTACCAGTTCGGGAGAACTGTTAGTGGAAATTTGGTGTGGTTCCCTGAACAGTTAGTGACCTCTGGCTGGCCAGACCCCCGAACCGGTCCCCACTTGCTCACCCTGCACACCCGATGCTCGCTCACCCTGCCTGCCCACCTGCTCTGCCCAACCACTTCTTGCAAAATCTAGCCCTGTACTTCTTCTCACCGCTGCTGCCAAAGGTAAGGCCGAAGGGCATTGGCCAGTGGGTGGGCAGGGGAGGGAGAGCTGGTGGAGTGGTGATATCAGCAGTGGGTGGTGGACTGATGTGAGTGGGGAGAGAGGGGAGCATGCAGGAGATTGTGGCACCAGAGTTCTTCCTGTGTGTTTCCACCAGCCGGTCTGGCCTGCGAGGGAAGCATGTGGGAGATCCTAGCTGAAGTTTACTTGTGAGCAATATTGGCCGGGAGAGGAAGGGAGAAAGGCCAATGGTGCTCACGAGGAAACTGAGGCTCCTAAGGGGGGGTAATGTCTCCCCACCCACAATATGTTCACCTGAGGGCATTGCTGGCAGCCACTTCCTGCACCTCCCGTCCTGTGCTCTTCCCGCTGATGCTCGGCCTCCTCAATGCACAGAGGCAGGAGGCGGCAGTTTCTTTCACTGTCTGTGAGCTGCTGGCTGCAAGCAGCATATTGAGTAAGCTAGATCCAGCGATCTACTGGCTGCCTCTATTCTGGGGTTTACTTGTGAGCAGGTTTACTCATGAACATGGTGCTCTCAAGTAAACTGCAGATTACAGGAAGCCAGCAGATCCCTGGCTTACTCCCTCTTCTGCTCGCCTGGCAGAGGGCAGACTGGCAGCTCCAGGTTGTCTCTCAGCCATTGTGTGCAGGGAAAAACCTTGCAAAGTAAAGAAAAATTTCTCTTGAGTATGAGAGGTTAATTGCCTCGCAGTCACAAGAAATTTTTCTTTACTGTGGCAAAGTGTTTCTCTGCACACAACTTCTGTAACAATGGATACTTTGTGCCCAGACCAGGTGTGTGTGTGTGTGTGTGTGTGTGTGTGTGTGTGTGTGTGTGTGTGTGAGAGAGAGAGAGAGAGAGAGAGAGAGAGAGAGAGAGAGAGAGAGAGAGAGAAGAAAGAGACAAAGAAAGAGAAAGAAAGAAAAAGAAAGAAAGAGGAAGTATGTCTGTGTGAAAGAGAGAAGAGAGAGAGACAAAGAAAGACAGAGAAAAAGGGAGAAAGATACAGGGAAGAAAGAAAGAAAGAAAGAAAGAAAGAAAGAAAGAAAGAAAGAAAGAAAAAGAGGAAAAGAGATAGATGAGACAGAGAAAGAAAAAGAAAAAGAAAAAGAATGAAAGAGAACGAAAGAAAGAGGAAGGAAGGGAGAGAGAGGAAAGAAAGAAAGAAAGAAAGAAAGAAAGAAAGAAAGAAAGAAAGAAAGAAAGAGACAGAAAGAGAGAAATTTGGCAGATATTTTGGAATGAATGTTGTTTTTCTGCTTAGTCTCTGCCTCAGTCCAAATGTGTGGACAGGTGTCACCCTGGATTTGTAAAACAGGCTCGGAAAGAAGAACCAATTTGCTGTTATGATTGTATTCCTTGTCCAAAGGGGACCATCTCCATACAGGAAGGTGAGTGACACCAGAGGAACTCTGGCTTTCCTGTCTCTGGGTATCAGCTTGTTGTGGCCCCGCCCTCTGAGCCTATCCCATCGGAGGAAGAAAGCTCCGAGCATGAGGAAGAGGAGTCAGCCAGGCCTCCCTCTCCAGGCACCTCCCCTCTGGCACTGTCTCAGGAGCCGGCCGAGGGAGAGGAGATTAGCCGGGAGACAGGTGTCTCGGATGAGAGTGAAGGAGAGATGTCATTCCTGGACGCACGCCAATGAAGGTGCGATAAACGATTGCAGCAGCTCAGGAGGCGTGCTAGGGATTAGAACTGAGTCACTGGACCACACCCCAGAGACTATATAATAGAGGGTGGTGGCCAGTGATACCCTGGATAGTCACTAGAGCCTCGTCCGAAGCTGCCAGGAGGAATATTGTTTCTGTTGGACTCTTGTACACTGAGTATATTATCTTTCTGTTTCTGTGGCAATAAAAGCACTTGGCAGACGGTGTGTATATCGCTGCCAAGTTGGAGATAAAGACCTGGGTGTGTGCCAAGTGCTTCCTTAACCCTCGGTTGGCTGTGTTTGTGTGTGTGTGTGGACGGGGACAGATCACAGCTGTCATCCAAAGAAGGTCTTTCTTGGAATGTGAAAGGAGGAACTATAGAAATAATATTATTTATTGTTTTCTCAGATATTGAAAAATGCACCAAGTGCCCAGATGACAAATATCCAACTGATGACAGAATCCAATGTATCCCCAAAAGAATAACCTTCCTGTCCTATGAAGAACTTCTGGGCATCATCCTGGTCTCCTTTGCTGTACTCTTGTTTCTAACAACAGGCCTTGTTTTAGTCATATTCCTTAAATACCTAGAAACTCCCATTGTCAAAGCTAACAACCGTGACCTCTCCTTCATCCTCCTGGTTTCCCTCTTGCTTTGTTTCTTGTCCTCCTTTTTCTTCATTGGCCGACCAAGGAAAGCCACCTGCCTTCTCCGACAAACAATCTTCAGCATCATCTTCTCAGTAGCTGTGTCTTGTGTGTTAGCCAAAACAATAATGGTAGTGCTGGCCTTCCTGGCCACGAAACCAGGGAACAGGGTGAGGAGATGGTTGGGGAAGAGCTTGGCCAACTCCATCATCCTTTCT